GTGTGTGTGTGTGTGTGTGTGTGTGTGTGTGTGTGTGTGTGTGTGTGTGTGTGTGTGTGTGTGTGTGTGTGTGTGTGTGTGTGTGTGTGTGTGTGTGTGTGTGTGTGTGTGTGTGTGTGTGTGTGTGTGTGTGTGTGTGTGTGTGTGTGTGTGTGTGTGTGTGTGTGTGTGTGGGTGGGTGGGTGGGTGTGGGTGGGTGGGTGGGTGTGTGTGTGTGTGTGTGTGTGTGTGTGTGTGTGTGTGTGTGTGTGTGTGTGTGTGTGTGTGTGTGTGTGTGTGTGTGTGTGTGTGTGTGTGTGTGTGTGTGTGTGTGTGTGTGTGTGTGTGTGTGTGTGTGTGTGTGTGTGTGTGTGTGTGTGTGTGTGTGTGTGTGTGTGTGTGTGTGTGTGTGTGTGTGTGTGTGTGTGTGTGTGTGTGTGTGTGTGTGTGTGTGTGTGTGTGTGTGTGTGTGTGTGTGTGTGTGTGTGTGTGAGAGCGCAAATGCCTACGTGGGTGTGCAAGGGAGTGGTGTGAGCATGATGCCGGTACTTGTTTGTATGAGCCAGCGTGCATGTCTTCACCATCAACTTCTTGAGATACCCGATAGCACCGGAACAGACTATGTGGCCGCGGGCAATCCAATGATCAATGTTCTCCTTTGCTACGCCATCTTGGTTGTCAGTGTTGTCTGGCCTACTACTGTACTTGTACCTCGGTTAGCCGAACACCAAACGTTACATGCTCATACCTCGGTTAGCCCAACACCAAACGTTACATGCTCATACCTCGGTTAGCCGACCACCAAATGTTACATGCTCATACCTCGGTTAGCCGAACACCAAACGTTACATGCTCATATCTCGGATAGCCGAACACCAAACGTTACATGCTCATACCTCGGTTAGCCCAACACCAAACGTTACATGCTCATACCTCGGTTAGCCCAACACCAAACGTTACATGCTCATACCTCGGTTAGCCGAACACCAAACGTTACATGCTCATACCTCGGTTAGCCGAACACCAAACGTTACATGCTCATACCTCGGTTAGCCGAACACCAAACGTTACATGCTCATACCTCGGTTAGCCCAACACCAAACGTTACATGCTCATACCTCGGTTAGCCCAACACCAAACGTTACATGCTCATACCTCGGTTAGCCGAACACCAAACGTTACATGCTCATACCTCGGTTAGTCCAACACCAAACGTTACATGCTCATACCTCGGTTAGCCCAACACCAAACGTTACATGCTCATACCTCGGTTAGCCCAACACCAAACGTTACATGCTCATACCTCGGTTAGCCGAACACCAAACGTTACTTGCTCATACCTCGGTTAGCCGAACACCAAACGTTACATGCTCATACCTCGGTTAGCCCAACACCAAACGTTACATGCTCATACCTCGGTTAGCCCAACACCAAACGTTACATGCTCATACCTCGGTTAGCCGAACACCAAACGTTACATGCTCATACCTCGGTTAGTCCAACACCAAACGTTACATGCTCATACCTCGGTTAGCCGAACACCAAACGTTACATGCTCATACCTCGGTTAGCCCAACACCAAACGTTACATGCTCATACCTCGGTTAGCCGAACACCAAACGTTACAGGCACTTCAGCCCGGTCTACAGGGCACTCTCTTTCGGCGAGTTTCAGGTGAAATATTGCAGCTTCAGGGACTAATTTACTTCAAAAAAATTGCATAGCAATAATTGCTACACACCTCGACGTTTGCATAGCAACGCAACAATTTTGCATAGCAGTTTTTTTCCGTCGACAATGCAGTCTTCAGTGCACTTCCACTTATACCGTCAACAAACGCCGTGCTGTAATTCCTCAAACCACGAAGCGAGGACGCCTTCTCCCTGCATATCTTGCAAAAGATCTTGGTCACAGCTCCACCACTCGACTCTGCGCGAATCCATTCTTTTTTGGGATCAAATTCAGCAATCCACTTGTCCACAGTACCTTGCTTCACAGACATGCCGGCAGTGAAGAGGCTTCATCAATAAGGCTAGCAGAATTTAACAAAGATAAGTCCTGAACGGTCGAGACGCCTACTGCTAGTGAAGCAACGTGGTCTAAATATCAAAAGCAGGTGAAGTACTTGTCGACACTCGCCTCGTGCTTCCTGGGCTGCACTTCAAGTAAGTAAATAATTAGTTAGTTAGTTTCCAAGTGCACGTGCTGCGGTGCGCGTGCGGAGATAGTCTGACATATGGCCATGGGCATGGTCCCGCGGCCCGCGCGTGCGTATGGTGTAAAATCTACCTGCACAGGCTGCAGTGCAGGCTGGACAACCACACACACACACACACACACAGTCTAATCTAGTCACAGTGCATGGTGCGCCATCTCCTGGCGCCAAACCAGCCACACACACTGTAAAGCTACACATGTGCATGCGCTACGCGTGCACTACAAGTCTATGTACCAGGGCCATACTTAGCTGTATGTTGTGTCGCAGTTTACCGCGACTCACTACGAACTTCGAATCGCAGACACTGTGTTTTGCGTCGCAAACTGCGATGCGATACCGGTTAAATTAGTCCCTGAGCTTACTTGCTGAGGAAACTTTCCCTTCTGCCATACACCATATCTATGGCCTTTTCCCATCAAAATGCATGTGATGCGGAGTTACGGGCGTCTCAAAGTCACGGGCTGCGCTCTGTCTCCGATTGCCCGGATCAACGAGGTACAAGTGTGATAGGACTTTGTATTGTATTTGTATTGTATTTTATTATTTTACTTGGGCATTCCCAACAGACCCTAAGGTCTTCTTACAGGGTGCCCAAGATGGGCTTGCTGCTGAGCAGACCGATTTTTACGTGAGAAACTGCGGGAAGCCTCGCCATGCCTACTGTTAGACTAGCAATGTTAACGAACATTTAATTCTAACGATTTAACGGATTTAAAAAAAACTTTACATTTGATGTCATTATGTGCAAAACTATATGTACACGGACAGTCATTTGCCAGTTTTGAGAAAGAATTCGTTAGAATTTCACCTCGCTAACCCCCGCAAATCCGGAGATCGTTAACTTTAATTGACGTTAAAATATCTAGTCTTACGGTGCTCTCCTGCCTCGTCTTGCAGATTCAACTTCACGCCACCCTGGTCGCATGGACAGGGTCTCAACCATTATGTCACCGCTAGGCCAAGTGAAGTTGCCACTATGCTGCAGATGGCCTTCAAATGGGTAAGCAGTCGGAACAACACATACACACGCACTCGCGCGCATCCACACACACACACACACACACACACACACACACACACACACACACCACACACACACACACACACACACACACACACACACACACACACACACACACACACACACACACACACACGCACACTCACACACACATACGCACACTCACACAGACATACGCACACTCAGACTCAGACATGCCCATCGCGGAAACGATGATAGCGAACAGCTATGTTAGACATAGCAACTTGTGCTGGCATTACACCATTCAACAGCTTGCAAGGCTGATGAATTGATCGCCACCAATTTCTAGCCTGGTATCCACCACACAGCTGATTGATGTGGCTTTTTCTGGCTAGTGAATCCCTATTTTTCATTTTTTCGAGTTTTTCATTCTTCTTTGGCACTCACCCCACACCACATACTCCAGCCATGATACACTGGCAGCTGGTAACCACCCAGGAGAATGAAAGAAGAGCTAGGAGAATGAGAAAGAGACGAAATACGTGTGCGGCCATAATCGCCGGGAATTGAACCCGCAACCTCTCGATTGGAAATCGACTGCGCATTTACCGCACATTTCCAGGGAATTCAAAAATACGCCCAAATACAGCTGTGCGAAGAAAATTCGCGTCATTGCCATGGTAATCAACATGGCGCCCGTAACTGAGTTGTCATGAACGCGTCATAAACTAACACATTGCATTGCATGAATGTCCTGTACTCGCCTTTTTACAAGCACATGTACAGTGACGTGTGTGTTCAGTTGCGCTCAAACGTGAAAATACAGGACTTCTGCATAGGAAAGTACTGACCCCTGACATTTTTTGGCTGCTTTTTGGACATACTTATCCTTTCCGGACTGGTTTTCGGAAGAGCCTTCGAAAATCGGACACTGCCTGAAAATCGGACGGTTTGGCAGGAGCGCATATTCAGTTGTCCAAGGTCCTCAGGCTGCTTACAGTGCTCTACGTCCAGTGGACAGAGCCAGTAACACAAAGATTACACAGCAATGAAGCAAACAAATCTTTTCCCGCTGTGACTCGGAGCTCCGTACAAAACACTCATCAGACAGCATGCTGTCACGGTCTGATGAGCGTTTCACACGAAACTCCGAGTAACGGCGGAAAAAGACTTGTTTGCGTCATTGCTGTGTATTCTTTGCAAACGCATATTCAGTAGAGTATGACATAACCGGAGGATGCACCCAGCCCAGTGCGTTGACACTGCTACTTAGTTTAGTTATCATCCAAGCAGCGACCTGTTTTGGTTTTCCTTTCTCCTTCTTTCCTTTCTTGCCATTGTTGGCTCCAACCACTCTCTTACACTTAGCCTATTACAATAGATTGGTTTTTTTGTTAAAGGTACTAGAACCGTACCGTTAGTTTGAGCTATTGCACATCTGTGCCGCAGCTTTGCCAGGGCAGCTCAACTGATGTATGCAATCAAGCATGCTCAGGAGGTCATGGTGGCTGAATCTTGCCCGAGCCTGCAGCCCAAGGGCATAGGCCCGAGCCTGCAGCCCAAGGGCGTAGGCCCGAGCCTGCAGCCCAAGGGCGTAGGCTCGACGGCTGCAGGCAAGGGCAAGATTCAGCTGCAGCCAAGGGCAGGACTCACCTGCAGGCAAGGGCAAGATTCAGCCGTCATGGCAGAGCTTGATATGATTTCTTACAGCACGAAGCAACATATTAGGGAAGGTCAAAGGTCGAAAGGTCGAATTATTCCCGAAATGACGTCAAACGGTCCTGAAATTCCCGAAATGACGTCACACGGTCCTGAAATTCCAGAATGACGTCAAACGGTCCAGATGTGATTATGCCCGCGGCGGGAAGACCGCCTATTGACCATGGCCCCGGCAACGACCACGTGTCATGTAAGAAGATGTGATTACCGTGATAATGCCTCAATTGAAAGGGTAGTGCATGTAGTAGTAGTAGTAGTAGAATTTTTTATTTTACTAGGGAACTCCCAACAGGCGTTGTCCTTTTACTGGGAACCCTAGTGTTGTGCAATTCTATGGCTATGGGTCAGGTGTGAACCCTAGTGTTGTGCAATGCTATGGCTATGGGTCAGGTCTGATCTCTCCCGTGTGCATGTACCGGTACTTGACTGACTGTACAGATTGACACATACCCAGACTCCAGTCCGTCACGCCACGTTCTGATGTACGCTTGGAATGAAGGCACCGAGGGTGGATGGCTCTGGCCAACGCTAGACGAGGGCACTGCTCGACTGGACGCAATCAGTCACGTGATCAGTAGCTATGGCAACTGATGCCTCTGACCAACACTGGAAGAGAATACGGCACCACTGGATCTCATGGATTATTTCATCCGTGGCTACATATAATACCGAGAGAGCTTGGAAGCTCCAGGCCCTACGCTATGCTTTTTTGCCTTGATGACCTAGGCAAAAAATAGCATAGGGATGTTAAACATTTTTCATTTCTCCAATTTTTTCAAGACAACCTGGGATTCGAACCCGCACAGTCGCCCTACATGCATTACCCGATACACTTCGCATTCATACTCATTCTTCCAAGTTGCTTCACGTTATGATCCTGCATTTGAAAGCCCTATTTGAATATTGTGGCCAGCTGTTTGTGGCCAGCTGATGGTACGGTACGGTACGGGACAGATACGGGATAGCGCCAGACGGAGGTCCGTCTGCCACAAACACCAAATTAAAGGGGAACTGTCACCAAAATATTTCTTTGTCTTATCTTGTAGTTCATTGGCTCCTGATCACGATGGTGTTATCCTTTTTTCTCTGCGATGGCTGAAAGTGGGTGAAAACTTGGAAAAAAAAGGTGCCCAAAATTGTCTTGAAGTTCTCAATCTATGCTTTTGCTCTATAAGTTGCTGTATTTGACATTTTTTTCCATTATTCCCTGTATTTACCCATGATGAGAAGGGAACGAAAACGTTCGGTTAATAAATTGGCTTTTACCTGACTGTGTGTATTGCGTCGGTGCTGACACCTTCCTTTCGAAATAATAATAATAATCACAAATAAAACAAAGAGCTGGAGCTTCGTGGAGGAAGTACGAGTGTGACAAACTTCTGTCGAATTTTGTTCGTTTTGTCCCTTTTTGGCGTTCTCATTGTGTACAACGTACACATCAGTGTCCGAGTTCAGAAGGCAAGCGTGCACTGTACATCGAACAGTTGGCTCGATCGACCAGCACACGGGCTGGACTTCGTTTTTGACGATGAATACGATCAAGAGTACATAAACCGGTTTATGTACTCTTGATACGATGAATATGATGAATACGCGTATATAGTCATGTACGCGTGGAGGTCAAGTCCGGCGAGACGTCACTCGGTACTCACCCACTTCCAGTCATCGCAGAGAAACGAATAACACCATCGTAATCAGGAGCCAAAGAACTACAATATAAGACAAAGAACATTTTTGGTGACAGTTCCCCTATAGCCCTGCTTTTATCAATTGTTGGCTGCAGCGCGGCATTTTCCACCGATGATTGCAGACAGGATATCGATTCTGTAAACGGGAGCACAACGATACTCTTACAGTGGTCATGTTGTGTGGCGATGTCTGTGCATTCGTACTTTTCTACATCCGTCTATTATGACTTTGTTAACCCCAACAACCGAGTCCAGCCGAGTCTCTGCCACACCAAATACACCGCCATGTGCTCTTGTTCTAGCAGTGTACCCCCCCCCCCCCCCCCCACCCCCAGGACAATCTAAAGCATGGATCCGTGACGTGTTTGAGAAATGTGTTCTTTTTTCGAATAATGGTGGTGAATTCCCTCAACAGGCCTTGGGTATTATCAGTTGGTAAATTACAAAATACACAAACTGGTGTTGTATCTTCAAAAACGAAACGAATCAGATTAGGATTATCATGGTTGGATGAAACTTTCGCCTCCTACTAGGATCAAGGATTACACTCAAAATCCAAGGGCACAAAAGTGGCAATTTGTCTTTGAAAACTAAGGTTCTCATTTGAAAAATATTCCTATTTCAAATCTGCACATACCAGTATTCTATTCAAATATATCAGAGAGCATAGTCCATGTACATAGAGCATACACTGCATAATGTTCGGTCGACGTTCCATGTTCGCGTTTCGGTTGTCGTTTTTTGCCAGCTTAACTCTTCCTGGCCTCGAGTCGGGTTGCTTTGCTGAGCTGAGGAGACTTGTCATGGCTGGCCGAGGTGGTGGCCGCGAGCTTGTGGGGCGTGAGGGGTTCATACTCCTTGTCTCCAAGCTCCGTGACCGCGGCCGTTTGCGAGGCCAGGCTCTTGCTGACCACGTGCGAGTTGGCGACCGTGCTCCGGCCACGGCTGGCAGCGGACTGGGTGACGGCGAGCGGCGCGTACTCCTTGTCACCCTGCTCCAGCTCCATAACCGGGGCCGTCTGCGAGGTGTGCCTCTTGGAACCGGGGCGTGGTAACTTCGCCATGTGGGCGGCACCTCCGGCGGCACAGCCGTTGATGGCGGCGAGCGCCAGGGCGCTCATCTCTCCGAACTTCGCGGCCTCGATCTTCGTGACGGTGGCTGTCTGAGCGGATTCCCGCTGCTGGCTCGTTTGCGGTCGGTCAAAGCGGCCTGTCCCAGGGACAGCTCGTCGCTCGAGTTGCAAGGCATGGTTGGCATTGGTAACAGCAGTAGGTGATCGACTGACGTGTATGCCGGCAGCAGTGTTGCTGGGTGTAGAGCGTGCGTCCTCCCTGTTGGAAAACTGCATTTCATCTGCCTTGAACGACTGCACGCTGTAGCTGCCGACGGTGGATGGGGACATTGCCATTCGCTTTGGCTGTGGCTCGCCGAGCTCATTGGCCAGTGCGTCGATGTCCTGCTCAATGTATGATGCGTCATCCCGCAAGTAGACAGGGAAATCTCCAATTTCGAGGTGTGCAACGTCCTTTGTGTGTGGCTTACGTACGCTGGACCGATCGGAGAGTGGTGCAGCCTCTGTCTTCTGCTCTAGTTTCATCTCGTTCGCGCGGTCCCAGCTTCTACAGGTAACAGGGAACAAATTCGAAACGGAAAGAACAACAACACAGATATGGATCTCACAATTCGTACCCCGGCAATGTTTTGATTTAGCATATTTCTTTGAACGCACCCCTCACAGTTTAGTAGTCAAGAATGGAATATGTGTTTCATAGGAAGGTCTTGGCCAAGCACATCTTGGCTCAATAGAGCAACGACTATTGATGAGGCTGTCTTTTGCATGCATTCTAGTCAGTGTTATGTGAATGTAGTGGAGTCAAATTACATCTTTACTACTAAACCGGACCGTTGTAAGCAAAAGAAAGAACAAAAATTGTGGACTCCGAAATTTAAACAAACGGCCATTCTGAACTTTTATAGGATTGGGAGAACTTCAAAATTCAAATGATCAGTCGAGGAAGTGAACTGCCTGAAAGAGGAAAAAATTCCAGACCCACCAGGACCCGACATGCATTGCTTGTCATGAGCAATGCTCTAATCATCTTAGCTTCAGGACCAGGCAATAATTATAAGGCGCTGACAAGTCTTTTACTCCAAGTTTTGAAGGCGAAGAAAAGGTTGAACGGTCTCTGCTTGGATGACAGCTAAACCTTAGCTGCGTGATTTGAGCATCGCTGGCCTCAAGCGAAAGTTCCTGGTTCGAGTCCTGGTGGTGACAATCACAGTGTTACCAACTGCCCGTATTTGTCCGTATTTTTACGGAAAAACGATGTTTTGTCCGCAGTACGGATTTCAATCGAATTATCCCGGAAAAGCGAAAATAATACGGTGTCTTCGAAAGGAGGGAAAAATGGTGCAGAAGTCACAATTATCAATGGAATTCGTGACTAAAGAGAATGATGAAACTACAATAGGATTTATACACTTGGAGTGAAACGACGAGGATACAAGAATAGTAAGAAAAATAGCACAAACTTAGGAAAAATTTGCACAGGTAATAAAAAATATAAACGTGAGAAATGAAATGAAATTCAGCAAGTGCAGTGTGACAATGGACATGCATGTGCAAGTGTGTGTGTATTGTTTTTTTCCAAATTACACTAATAATCAGTGAGAATGTTGACCTGAAAAAACGAGTACGGAAAACGCTGCAAAATTGCGCAAAATGGCACTGGGCAATACGGATGGGGGTAGAGGGCACTTGGTAACACTGCAATCAATTTTTCCATCATACTTTTTTCCTTTTCCATTTCCTCACCCAGTGCATAGTACTGTTATGATTTTGCATTTGTTTTTGTTTTTCTTTCCAATGATAGTAGCAGTGCTGAGGCTTCCTGCTGCTTCATTCATAGGAAGACAGGTTTCAGAGCAGACCCGCTCTCTTCCCATTCACTTTGCAAACTCGAACTCGTGTCACAATCAGTTATTGCAACATTTCGGCAAAATTGCCCTCATCAGGTATGCAATGTTGTGCAAGTTTGCAGTGGGTGTCTGTGTGAAAGCACTTCGGGCTTTGCGTGGATTTATCACCACATTGTCATCTTTGAATAAAGTTAATGTTGTTGGTATCACACTTCTTTTGGTTATTATTATCTTTATGATTCTGGTACGTCACAGTGGGTGCGATTTAGCATATCATAGCATCACAAATTGCATGTATATAACTGCTCCTTTGCAAGCCTGCCCACCATTGCATACCTGATGAGGGAAAATTTGCGGAAATGTTGTAATAATTGATTGAGGAGCGAGTTCAAGTTTGCAAAGTGAATGGGAAGAGAGCGGGTCTGCTCTGAAACATTTCTATGTTGGATTCATCATCTACAATAATTTATTGTGTATGCAATTGGGCGACACCACCTGTTTGGTTCTGAAACGTTATACCCTTATCTACCCAACTACCTACCTAACTACATACCTACATACATACCCACATACCCAACTACCACTATGTGTTTATAAGCATACTGTTGGGTAGACCCGAGTATCAGTTGTCTGATGATTGCCTAACGGCATGAAACTCAGAGTTACAACCAACCTGAACGTCCTCCGCTGAGTCTGCTATGTAATTACATACTCATGTACCAACCTACCTACCTACCTACCTACCTACCTACATACATACTGTACCTACACACACACACACACACACACACATACACACACACACATACACACACACACACACACACACACACACACACACACACACTCACACACACACTCACACACACACACACACACACACACACACACACACACACACACACACACACACACACACACACACACACACACACACACATACACTTAAAGGTTATAGGATAGTGGGAAGTATACAAGGTGAGGTGTGAAAAAAACTAAAGTGGGAGAGAAGACGAAAGAAATTAGAAGACAAGCATACACCTACACGTCACAGTTGCTCACACTATCACATTCACCTGCTTCCACGCCTTCATTTCACTCACCTTTTGTAGTAGCTCACACCGTCAGAACACTCTCACATCTTTTCTTCTAATCTCTTTCGTCTTCTCTCCCACTTTAGTTTTTTTTCACACCTCACCTTGTACTTCCCACTATCCTATAACCTATAAGTAGTTTGTTTCTCCGTATAGCCTCTATTGTGAGACATACACTTAAATTGCTAAAAGGACTTCTTTTTATCCAGATTACGCAATCCGTGTGCATCAAAACAAAGAAAACTCACGAGGGTTCTTGGATTGTCTTTTTGATGGGTTCGAACGCCGTCATGACAGATTCCTGTTTCTGCATACCCCTCCGTCGTGCCATGATGCCGGCAAAGGCCAGGATCATGCATCCGGCTAAGACCAGCGGTGAGAAGAGAAGGGCGAGGTTCAAGGTACTGCCCCTGTCATCCGCCTCATCACCATTATTACCTTCTCCAACATTTTGAGCAACTTCCTTTTGAACTGCTGTGGATGATTTGGAGGTAGTCGGAGAGCCGCGCACGACATTAGAGTTGTTCCTGCCGGCAATCTCGTAGCCCGATGCTTCAGTTTCAACTTGAGGATTTGAGGAGTTTAGAGCAATGACGTGAACAATGTCGCCGTCTGCAGTATTGTTCTTCGTAGTGGCTGCATCCGAACCATCTCCGTGCGTGCTAGCGTTGGGAGTGATATCTCCGTGCGTGCTAGCGTTGGGAGTGATATCTCCGTGCGCGCTAGCGTTGGGAGTGATATCTCCGTGCGTGCTAGCGTTGGGAGTGATGTAGCCAGTATCACCGGAGTCATTTTTCTGAGAAGACAAACCATCTCCCTGCGTGTCAGTTGCAGCTGTTGGAGTGGCAGCATTGTCGCTGACCATTTCCGGGTGCCCATCAATGTTTTTGATATTACTTGGACCATTATGTGATTCAGCCGGACCTTGCACTTGCGTGGCAGGGCTGCCAGGAGAGTTTTCTGGAGTTCTGAGTCTGGTTGCTGTTGTGCTGTTGAATGGAGTGGTTGTTGGAGTGGTTGTTGGAGAGGTTGTTGGAGTGGATGTTGGAGTGGTGGTTGTTGTGGTCGCTGAAGTGGTGGTTGTATCTGTTGTTGGACTGGTTATTGGACTGGTTATTGGAAGGGTTGTTGAAGTGGTTGTTGGAGTGGTTGTTGAAGTGGTTGTTGGAGTGGTGGTCGGTGTGGTCGCTAAAGTGGTGTTTGGATCTGTTGTTGGGATGGTTGCTGGACTGGTTGTTGGAAGGGTTGTTGGAATGGTTGTTGGAGATGCTGCAATGAACAGGGAGAGGACCAGACAGGTAACAGGTTAATTGTCCATTGGGTGTCTGCACTGCACTAGTTCAAACCGTCAACCAGCTAACACCTATTTCCCCCTGCCCCCCCCCCCCCCACCCCCTCCCTTCCCTCACCCTCCACACAGAACCAGACTTCAAAGGTCTTTAAAGGGGTAACTGCAAGGATAGGCACCGGCTGTCACAATTCTGCAAATGGCCTTTGCTTGAAGAGCAGGGAATGTCCAAGATGTCTCTGTGGATGATGATGATGATGATGATGAATATGTTGGTGTAAAATGATGCGTTGTTTTCCTGTGTGATGGCATTCCCCAAACTGTCTCGTCTAGTCGCGTGCATGTCTGATAGGTGTAATATGAGCATGCGTGATTTGGTAGTCAAGAGTTTTTTTGTCAGTCTTCTTGTTCGTCTCTGTCAGAGTAGTTTTCTTTTCCGTCTTGTAAATATAACATAATGTAACAAACCAGTCTTGTCCTTTGTGTCCTGCGTCCCGGGGAACGGATTGGCTGTGATTCCGTTACAATGCCTCTGTGGAATTGGCTCAAAACTTCTTCGGGATATCGGCCCAGGCCTGCTCCGAAGACACCTCTACTGCCGGAATCAATGGACAATATGGAATGCTCTGCGGCTGCCTAAATCGATGCTGTGGCGATTGAAAATGTTGATAGCAAGCCAATCGGTAAACATCACGGCTCTTACTTTGAATACGACGATGAACTTCAGACAAAATATTTCCAAAGTATGCCTGTCTCCATGGGCAGCGCAGTCAATTTCTCGAAAGATTTGGGACGAATTGCAAAGGAGGGAAGTTACGCCATCAGGAAGTAAGACAGACCGGACGGCACTTTCTCTTCGTACAATACTACACATGGAATGGAATTTGTGATGGACTAACAAACGCTTACTTCTGATAACATGAGCTTCCCAAGTTGGGAGGTCGTTGTTTCGCGTTTTTGAATTGAGCCGTGGCCGTCCTGTGCCGTGGTCCTTCGTTCTTCGTTATCATAATTGTTATGGCTAACAGTCTTAGTTCACTGTGATGTTTAGCTTGTTTTTGTCTAGAGTGTGCTCATCTTCCCCTTTCCTACACTATTGCATAACTTTGAACCTTCCAAGTTGGAAGGCTGTTGGTTAGCGCATTCCAGACGCGATGCAGCTAAGCATCAGGTCGTTGAATGTCAGTATCACATCAGTCAGTTTTCTGCTAATTGTTTTGCCACATTTTGCCACACCATTATCCTGTTTGTTATCGTTAGTATAACGTGCAAACCCCTATGGTCCCTTATTTTCCTTTCCTTTCTCTAGTTTTATTGCACATCCGTGTGTCAGCCTGAGCACATTCTAGTACTTAACCCGTCCAAGACGTATGTAAGGTAAGCTGTATTCCCGAGGACGAGTATACTCATCCTGACAGTTCTTCAGTGCATATACACCAGTGTTTATATTATTGTAACTCTGGTGTCCTTTCTCCGATAATCGTCGATTCACAGAGCACCGAAGAACGAATCACAAAATACGCTTAAACGTTTTGACAAAATAATTGCGTACGCAGTGATCTGAATCTATCAGTATCTCTCAAATGGGGACTTCCCCTGAGTCATCATTGCACGGCGCATGCGAATTAGAGCCCAAAGGATTCGCTTCAAGTTACTTCACGAATGGCATGAAGTCGAGTCTATTGCTCCTGCTGGACACCTAGTTGAATGATTAGGAGAGAGGGGATCTGTAGCATGCTGATGAGACTAAGATGAAGAAATTCTGCCACTGGTGAGTGAAGTTATAAAATTGTGTGGCTGCGTACTCTGGCTGAGCGGCATGCGTCAGCTTGTGCCCTGGCGGGAATACGTGGAATTAGTAGTGGCCCTAAAGGTGTCAAGAGAGTCAATTTCTGTCATGAATCAGGCCAAATGAAGCTGCATGAGGATGAGGGGTCCGTCAGTTTTTTTTTATCAATGTCTGTATTGACCGAATATCACTGGCCATGGGCAAATTTCCAAATTCCGCTCAAAGTTATGGTATGGTATTTTAATTTGAATTCACCAATCGAACAGGCATATCTGCCTTCTTGCTAGGGGTGGCCAGAGCCAACCACGACTCCTACTAATTGATGAATATGATAATGTGAAGCAAAAGAAAAGAAAAAAAATGGTACTTTGTCAGCTATATAATTCTTGCGTACTAAAAATATGGAGAGGGCAGTATGTGGATTCTATATTGAAGGACTATGGTCCAGTATGGATGGTGAAGTGCTACTTGTGTTTTATGATAAAAGTATAGGGAGAGACAGAGAGACGGAGAAAGGGGGGGGGGGGGGGGAGCAGAAAGTTGACTGCTATTAACCCTCAGTCAGCCATTATGCCAGTTTTGTCCAGAGACTCTGGCTTCCTCAGATATGTACCAAATTTGACTATAATACGCACTGGAACAACTGTATAAGAATGCGGGGCCAATGCTGCACACAAAATACAGTGCAGTCAAAGCAATTATTTGATTATGTTCGCACACCAATCCCAGTGACTTAGCATTGTTTAACCATCTAACTCACGGCTGGTGACTTGCGGAGTCCCTGAATGAATCGATGAATTCAATCGGTCAGTCTGCTGGGCATGATCGTTCAGAATGAACAAATAGCCTTACAAGAGAGTGCATCGGGGAAATGGACCAGTCCACATTATTTTGGGATTTCTCAGGCAGGGCCTCCTAGATTTGATTCAAACTCGGATTTAGAGCCAATCCAAAAAGAAAACTTTACTACATGCTTGCGCTACACACACATACACCCATACATATGCAAATACAAGCCTGTATTATACGCTTACACACACACACACACACACACACACACACATGTAGATCAACATCCAAACAAACCAACACATTCTTACACATACTCACACGGGCCCATTAAATAAGGATGAAACCTGCGATTTAACCATAGGCTTCGATCATTAATCAATCATGTACAGGCACTTTTACTCACCAGAACATAATGGTTGGGCCAGAGTGCCATTTTCTGTGCAGATTAACATTGCTGCTCCAATCAGATTGTAGCCATCGTCGCAGGTGAAGGTCACGGAGTCTTGATATTGGATCTCCCCATTTCGGCTAGAGTTCCCGTTCTTCAAAGTTTGCGCTAAACAAATCACAGCTGGGAGACAGTTAAAGGAAAGATATAGCTTTAGATAGCCCTGGCAATCCGGTTTGGTGTCAGAGAAGTTGGCGGGAAGCAAGGATTTCAACAAATGGACCAAGTTGCCAGTGCAAGTGGGTGCATGTGGAGATATTCAAAAACTCGGATTCAGAGCTAATTCGAAAGGAAAAAAATTACTACTTCCTCCGCGTTCTGAAAATAGTCATTTTCCCGGAGCGATTTTTTCAAATCTATTCTGTTCACTCAAAGCAAAGAAATCAGCTAAAACTTGAAGCAGAGCATTGTCAACGGACTAAGTTTTGAGTTTGCGGCCTCCCAATCCACTGTGCTTCCGGCTGGGGTCGACGCCTTTACCAAAATGTTAAAGGGGAAGTTAATTAAGGCAAAAATCAAAATTTCACCAGTTGTAGTCTTCGGGGTGCTGAGTCGAATGGTCTTGGTCCGAGAAAGCTGAGACGCTCCCTTCCTACTTGAATCCCAATCGAACTCGCGCACTTCCACCGAAACTGGGTGACTGCGCCCTACGAGATGGGGATTTGTATGCAAAATGTCACTAAAAGCGCCATTTCGTTCTTATAAAAGCACGGATGACCGCGATTGGCCTATATGTTGTAGTCTTTTGGACGCTGAGTCGACTGGTTTTGGTCCGAAAAGGCTGCGATGCAGCGTTCATCCTTTATTCCCAATCGAACATGGTTGAAAAAGCGGTCACGTGCTCCTGGGTGCCCAAATCACCTGGTCACCACGCCAGCAGGCGACAACTTTCACACCAAGGTTCAACTCGAGTTCAACCCGAGTGACAGGAGTGCGCCCAAAAAAGGTCAAACAGGCTAGTAAGTTGTACCCTGCAGGCACGGTGACCAGGTGACTGGTGTACGCAGGAGCACGTGACCACTTGTTCAACCATGTTCGATTGGGAATAAAGGAGGAACGCTGCATCGCAGCCTTGTCGGACCGAAACCAGTCGACTCAGCGTCCAAAAGACTACAACATACGGGCCAATCGCGGTCATCCGTGCTTTTATAAGAACGAAATGGCGCTTTTAGTGACATTTTGCATACAAATCCCCATCTCGTAGGGCGCAGTCACCCAGTTTCGGTGGAAGTGCTCGAGTTCGATTGGGATTCAAGTAGGAAGGGAGCGTCTCAGCTTTCTCGGACCAAGACCATTCGACTCAGCACCCCGAAGACTACAACTGGTGAAATTTTAATTTTTGCCTTAACTTCCCCTTTAAGCAGACCCTTCAGCACTCAGCAAGACACTGAACAAGAAATGCGTTAAAACTCAGGGCTTGAAACTTCGTTTTCAAGCGATCCATGCCTCCAGGTGGCAGGCGATGACGGCAAACTATTTGGTCCGTGTCATCAATATTGTCTCTCAGCCTGGTTTTACGTTGCCAAAGTTCACTTGGCAGCCCATTTCATCCCACTTTTGGTTAGGAAGGTAGTTTACTAATACCTGAAAGGTCTAGCTAGATTTTGAGTGTTTTTTTAGAGCGATGGGTGGGTGATTCTGATTGATACCACGCCTTAATCAAAATAGAACATCTTGTCACACTAGGACTGCACAGGTAAGGGCAGAGCGGCGCACAAGAAGATAATCAGCTACTCGGAATCAGTTCTATTTTGCAAAACGGCGAGATCGATTACCTCTTGGATGGTCAGCAATTTGGAGTAATGACTAAGGCCCTCTGCAGACTACGTACATAGAACATCCAGTATAAAATCACATAAAACCTAAAAGGCAACCTTTTTCCATGCCTGCATTCAGACTACACATTTTACATGCAATATACAGGCAACCTTTGACCCTACGAAATTGCGCAAGGGGCCTGGGATGTGTGAAAGCAGCGGACAGTCGTACCCGGGTACAAAGTTCGTACAACTGCCTGATGAAAGTACGATAAATGCAGGAAAGTTGCCTTGTACAAGGGTTGGCACCCTGCCTGAAAGGATTGGGCAGCTTTTTAGGCTTCCCGCCAGATTCTTGTTGTTGTCTTCGAAACTTCTATGTAAATGTGACTTATAGGCTGTTTTGTACCTAGTCTGAAGAGGGCCTAACTGTCCACCAGTTTTGTGCCATATTGTCGCACTCGCTGACTCGCTGTATGATGATCTGGTGATGTTGATGGACATTTAGTCATAACTCGTAACATTTTGTTACTTCTCCTTTTTTCCCCCATTCATATACAATACTTGAACTCACCAGAACATGATGGTTGGGCCAGAGTGCCATTAGCTGTGCAGCTTGACGTATTTGAGCCAGTCATTTTGTAGCCATCGTTGCAGGTGAAGGTCACAGAGTCTTGATATTGGATCTCCCTACTTGGGTGCGCGGTCCCGTTCTTCAAAGATTGTACTGAACAAGTCACAACTGGGAAGCAGATAAAGGAAACATAGGACTTTCATCAAAAAACTTGCACCCTAGTTTCTGACGTCTCTCACTTATAATTATTGTAGGATAACAGTAAATCCAGCTGGTACTGTTGGAATAGCATAATTCTAACCTTCCCTATAGTTTTCGGCACTTGTGCCAGTGGTTGTGAGACTTATCCACTCACCCCCACCGTTAGGCGCTGCATCTGCCGCTAGGGTTTATCGGGTGTTAGCGGCCGTCGTGAGTTCCCTTCGGGAACGGACACGATAATTTACTCTTTTTTTAACCTTCCCTATATTAATGTGAGCAAATTTTGAAGAAAGGTAGTTAAACCTATTGTCGCAAAATTCAGACACTGCCCCATAGAGGTTTATGCCCGGGTTGAAATCCAGTACTGAATCCTCGTTTTCGTCGGTGTTGTCAACCTATTCTTGGTTATCCGTTTTGGTGTAAAAGGATAAGCTGGCAGGAAACAAGCACTTTCACAATCAGTCCAACACGCCAGTGGAAGTGGGCGCGTGAGTAGATATTGCGATTATCACTAAAGGTGATGTCGACAGCTTTTCAATTGCTGATATTCAGACGCCGTGGCAATTGGAGTGTGTACTTGTCCACAACGATAGATCTCGAGTACAGGATTGTCGATTGTTACTGGTTGATGACTTTCCTGGACCTGGGACTTTAGCTTGTACTCATTTTCGTTACGGTTACTTTCCTCTCAATGGTCTCTCCTTAACTGAGAACCTTCTGAGTTGGAAGGCTGTTCGGTAGTGCTTTAGAGATATGTTGGAGCTAGTTTTCCGGTTCTGAATTGTCTCAGTACTCTGTCAGTTTTGTGCTTAGTTGTTGCACTTACTGACATTACATACTAGTATCTGATTTCAGTGGTGGACAGTCACTCCTGAGTTACTCCTGATTCATATTCGTATATTCCTTTAATTTCTCTAGTTTTATTGCTAAGGTGAAAGCCACTAAGGTGAAAAGGCATAGTGGTGGCCTGCGGAAGCGAGGGCTATAGCTTGTGTGTTTCTGAGCATTCAAGTGATGCTAACGCGGATCCCGCAAATATTATAGTTGTATTGCTTATTTGTGTGAGTTCGAGCATCTTCTACCAGTTAAATGAGCTGATTTCTGTCATGAATCATGCCAAATGAAGTTGTATGAAGTGTCCGTAAGAATTTAATCAATGTCGATATTGACATAATATCAATGGACCTGGCCAAATTTCCGATTCCGCTCAAAGTTGGCTCCTTTAGTCCCTCAGTCAGCCATTATGACAGTTTGGTCGAGAGATCCTCCTTTCCTCGGATATTGAGTAAAATCAAGAATCAACTAAAATACGAACACGGTACAAGAACGCAAGGTCAATGTTGCCCACTAGAACACACTGCAGCCAAAGCAGTTATGTTCGCACACCGACCCAAGTTACTTAGTCATGTTTACCCATCTAACTCCCGACTGGCAACTTGCTGGGTCCGTGAACGAATGGATGAATTCAGTGTGTCAGTCTGCTGGGCATGACTGGGTTCTCTTGAACTCTACTGTGCTATTGCCATTCTATGGTTTCCATTAGGTTCAGAATTAACAGACGGTCTTACGAGAGCATGCATCAGGGCGATGGACCAGTCCACACATTTTGGGTTTTTTTAGGCTTGGCCTCGTATCTAATATGATTGAAACTTGGATTGAGAGCCAATTCAGAAGAACAACTTTAGTACATGCTTGTATCGCACATACATACACCCATACAAATGCAATTCTACAAGACTATACATATGCTTACACACACACACACACACACACACACACACACACACACACACACACACACACACACACACACAAACACACACACACAAACACACGCACAAACACACGCACACACAAACACACACACCTCAGACCTCCGACCTCAGACCTGCCCATCGCGGAAGCGATGATAGCAAACAGCTATGTTAGACATAGCAACTTGTGCTGGGATTACACCATTCAACAGCTTGCAAGGCTGATGAATTGACCGCCACTAATTTTAGCCTGGTAACCACCACACAGCTGATTGAAGTGGCTTTTCTGGCCAGTAAATCCCTATTTTTCATTTTTTTCTCATTTTTCATCATTTTTACACACACACGCCACACCACATACTCCGGCAGACATTGGCTGTTGGTAACCACCCAGGAGAATGAAAGAAGAGCTAGGAGAATGAGAAAGAGAAGAAAGACGTGTGCGACCATAATCGTCAGGGAATTGAACCCGCAACCTCTCGGAAAACACACACACACACTGTACTTACTGTACTTGTTGCTCACTGCCAAAACTGGTCACGTGAGTCTCCCCGGGAGAGGGGAGAGAGACTCAAAAGGAATCTTGGAAAGATGACTCAATTGGCTATTGAGCCACCTAACGGCCGACACCCCCTGAAATCCCCAAAACTCTGGGTGGACTTGAAAATGATCCCACTTATGGGCTCACCACACCTCACTAAGTGGGTGAGGACAATGTGCAGAAAAAGGATTGACGGCATCAGGGTATCCGTCCCGGGATCCAACTGCAGTTACCCCTGCCCCCAGTGAAGGCAATATTTGCTACTAGTGTGAGTGGCTAAATCAGAGTGGATCTGATAAAAGCTTCACTAGCACCATTGATTACACAAGAGGTAATCTAGCCAGAAGCAGGCCATGGTTAACAGGTATGTATACTTCAAATAGAAAGTACTTGTACCGTATTTTCCGGGGTATAAGCCGCACTTTTGTTCGCTAAAAATCGGACCAAAATCGCCCCTGCGGCTTATACACCGAATATGCTTGCACGAATGAATGCTTGGCATACATCAGTATGCATGCTGACGTCATGTGACATGTCATTCGACTCAGCTTCGCGCCTGTGTTGCTGATCAACATCAGTGGCAGCGAGACTGAAGATAGTGCAGATGACATGGAGTGATCTGTAGTCAACACAGCAATACACCAACATCTCTGCAGCAACCTGTGGTGCACTAACACTTCATAATCTGATCTAACATGGTATTTAGCTCCATAACCATAATAAAATAAATAAAAAAAAGTAAATTATCGTGTCCGTTCCCGAAGGGAACTCACGACGGCCGCTAACACCCGGTAAATCCTAGCGGCAGATGCAGCGCCTAACGGTGGGGGTGAGTGGATAAGTCTCACAACCACTGGCACAAGTGCCGAGAACGGCCCCATTAGCTGCATCCATGTACCCCTTGTGCCTGGCAACAAGTTCCCAGTTGACTGTGGGTAGCAGCACGGCTGGAAAAACCGCTCCCAGGCAGGGCTTGAACCAGGTACCTCTCGTATCTCAATCATGGTCTTTGACCAACCCACTGTGCCTGCCTGGTTAAACCATAATAAATTTGTAGAAAGGCCATTTGTCAATGAGTGTAAAAAATCTTGGTTTTTGGGTGCGGCTTATACTCCGAATACCAACTTTTAGTCAATACTTTGCCTCAAAAAGGGGGGGTGCGGCTTATACCCCGGTGCGGCTTATACCCCGGAAAATACGGTATATGAATCCTGGAACTAACAAAGGTGGCAGGTACAACATTACACCTTCAAGCAGCCGAGCCTGTTGGCAACAGACCCAACACAATCAGGCATAAGTGTACCTACCAACCTGACAAACACACAAACACGCACACACACACACACACACACACACAGACAAACACACACATAGACAAACACACAAACACGCACGCACACACACGCACACACACACACACACACACACATACACTCCTGCACGTCCTCACAGAAACGACTGACAACGGGACAACCAACGTAGCGTTGACCCAAATAATAAGGATAAAACACTGTTGAAAGGTAAACATGCTGAGATTAACCTAACATCCTGTTCATTAATAATTCAATTACAGGATTATAACTCACCAGAACATGATGGCGGTGTCAGAGTTGCATCATCTGTGCAGCTTGAGGTCTTTGCGCCAATCAGATTGTAGCCACGGTTGCAGGTGAAGGTCACGGAGTCTTGATATTGGATCACCCCACTTGGGAGAGAGATCCCGTTCGTCAAAGGTTGCACTGAACAATTCACAGCTGGGAAACAGTTAAAGAAAAGATTATAACGTCATCAACACCTTGAACCCTGACGTCTCTCACTTATCTTTCTAAGACCACAGTTCATTCTGCAGGTCCTGTTTAAAAAAAAAAGGGCCATTGTCCCTTGCCATAATTATTTTGAAGAAAGGAAGTTAAGGCTATTTTCACAAAAGTCAGAAACAGTGGAGGAAGCTACTCATCACAAGCTCCTCCCGATGGTAACTGGGAAATGAAATGGAGAATACAATGGTGTCCTTTGAGAGTATATCAGAGACTAGAATCAGGAAGGATCCGTCCCCTTTCTTCTTTGAATAGCGCCATTTCGGCGCGTCTACAAAACATGATTTTCTCCATTTTTGTCAGCAAAAGCTATAGGGTTGTTTTAGCTGATCAGGGTTCATATGATATGCTTTTAAAGATGCAGGTGAATTGCTTGTGACGTACTAATGAAAAACAAGCAGTGATTAAGCGTTTTGGAGACAACAGCTTTAACACAGCCAAACAAAGGACTAATCCAGCTGTGAGCATTTCATATTTGTCAACATGAATGAGTATAATGTTTAAAAATATGATGATCATGCGTCCTGGGGCACACAACGTGAAACAAAGGGGGGATTATTTCGGAACTGTTCTGAACTGTTCTACCGAAATCCCAGCGCTCTACGCGACCTAGGCACAGTCGGACTAGAAAGAACCCAGTGCAGATTCCAATGCAGATTTCGAAATCGACTGACCGCATTTCGACTGCGCCTATGCCTAAATCAGCACCGTAGCACAGGGGGCTGGGCAGGTATAGGAACGTTGCTTCCAAGTGACATCCCCACACTTGCTCTGCCTTCTGACCCGTCAACGATTAGAGCACGTGGTGTGGAACCAGCCCTGGTCAAAGTGGCAGATACATACACACACAACATGCCATGACGTAGCTCTGGCACCAGCAGTCGGCTCGTCACCGACTAACTCAAGACCAATGGCTACGAACTCGACGAGTCTATGCCCCCGCTGCACATTTGTCTATACGATATGGTCTTCTTTGGCAGAGGTGGCACGCGGGCTCTTGGGTTGATTGGAGGAAGATGGAGGTCAACGGATGAAGAGGAGGTGGCAGAGCGTGGGGCTGAGTCGGTTGAGCAGGGAGGAGATGACCAGGAGCGACTACAGACATCGGCGGATCAGGAAGGAGAGGATACGTGTTCAGATGAGTCAGTTGGAGAGGGTTAGCCCTTTATGGAGTAATTAAATGAGTTTGGAAATGTGGCATTCAATTAACTGCTTTAAATCAAGAACGGTTATGATTTTTTTAGACGGACAAAGCTTTCATATAGAAATACCAGACCAAATTCGGATCAATGAAAGTTGCCAAAGTGAAGCGTTGAAAAACCTTTGAGTTCAATTGAGAGTGAGCCCACTGTTGAGTGCGAAATGTTCAGTGGGATTTTTCGTGAACGTTTTTACTTGTGACATACGTAGATGTTATGCTCATTCGATTTGCATTTGCGGATTTGTCGAAAAATCGAAAAACGATGTAGATCGCTTACTGAAACCCCGCTTCAAGTTTTCATCATAATATGATCTAAAACTTCAAGCTGGCGTGCCCCTCAAAAATGGTCGAAATACCACATGATTTATGGGCCTACAAATGAGTCATGCCAGAGCATTTAGAGATGATATGCCCATCTCAATTGAACCCCAGATACTTGGCCCAATCCATCAATACGTTTCCCGTCCCTGTTATCCTCTCCTAGGATTTACCGGGTGTTAGCGGCGGTCGTGAGTTCCCTTCGGGAGCGGACACGATAATTTACTTTTTTATAATTTTCATCCTCTCCTCCCTGTGCGTTGTGGAGTGGACTAAGGCAGAGATAGAGGAACTAGATCAAGAATCATTTCTCTTCTTTTTGTCCTTTATCTATTTTCTCGGATGTTTCAGTACTCTTGTCAGTTTTGTGCCTAGTTGTTGCACTTTCTGACTGTATATAGTATCCATTTACAGTGATGGAGAGTTACTCTTAACTCGTATCCATATGTCCTTTTCCTTTCTACATTTATTTTCTCTTCTTCCTTTGCTGAGAGCCTTCTGTCCCCATAATTTCTTTTCATCTGTGTGTCCTTGCCGAGTTTTCCCATTCCTGGGTTACTTGGACCGCATTTGCTTCCTTGTCATTGGACATGTTCAGTCCGTTCGGTTTGCAAATTCAAATATACACAACCCCAACAAACCCGCCAAGCACTGTGAAAGACACACGCCCAATTGTCGACAGGGTTCACCGACCTCGTGACATGGGTGGTCGAGGAACTCTGTCATTCCGGGATCTCTAGAACCCGTCCCCGGGTTGCGCAATACCTAGACGCCCACCCAAACGTGCCACCATTGCCTCCAGTTAAACAATTTCAAGAAAGCCGTTGCCCTCTGGTGCTTGGCAATCATCCAGGGGAAGTCTCTCCACATCCAGTTTTGGAAATGTGCCAATGACGCTGGATTAGATCTGGGTCTGAGCTTTCGCTGGTGAAAATCGCCATCAATCAGGCCTGCGACAGAAGGACTCTTGCTGTCTGTGCAAGAACTCGGAATCATCAGGCGACAGTCGTTGTGCGGGGCGATGTTCTGGATGTGTGTGGGGTTTGTGGTACCCGCGGAGAGACAGTGCACCACATTGTGGCTTATTGGCCAGCCCTGGCTAAAACCTTCTACATCTAACGACATGACACACTCGTTAAGTTGTTACAGTGGGCACTATGCAAGCGGTCGGGAAACAACCTGCTGACGCATCTTTTTGTGCTCGTCATGGAAAATATTGACAGAACACACCTGTAGGAACTGCACATCCCAACTGATTCGCAAGCATACCATAACTGTCCGGACTTGGTGCTGCGGTCCAGCGTACACGTGCTACTGATGGATGTCAGTGTTCCCTTGGACCATAACGTGCCCACAGATATCACCGAAAAATTAACAACGTATGCTCCCCTTTACCAAGACCTGCGGCGCATTGGGCATATGGATGATGTCCTCGTTGTGCCTCTGTTGGGTGGAGCACTTGGTGTTCCGACTGGTCTATCCCTTTTTGTTGGCATTGGCAGGCTTGCTGCGCATCAAAAGGGGCCAGCAATGTGCTATCCTCGGCACATTAAACATTGTCAAGTCGTCCTTTGCATTAGTCATTAGGCTTCTCCTGACATGGTTCAAGCTAGTCCGTACAAATCCAATACCGCGTTTGCTTGGGCATCCACGAATGCGCATGATGTCCAGTATGATGGTCGGCACAACTTAATTATTCTCTTGCCACTTCGGTATGTCCTGGCTTTCATTTCTTCTTCTATCCCTGGGCGTCTACCCCTGGGCGTCTATCCCTGGGCGTCTATCCCTGGGCGTCTATCCCTGGGCGTCTATCCCTGGGCGTCTATCCCTGGGCGTCTACCCCTGTTTTGGTTAGTATTGTTCTGGTTTTCCATTCCTGATTGTTCCCTTTGTATTCAAATATGTCCTGGCCGCCTACATCTTCCGTGTACTTGAGTCTGTTCCTTAGTTTCGGCCTCGGTTACATTTTTCACAATTAATTTTGCTCTTGTCTATAAATTTTGCTATTGTTTTTACAAAACCACTTCGATCTTCATTTCGTTAGCCCTTCACCTATTTTTTTCTTTTCTTTCCTCATACTCTCATTACCCTTGGTCTCTTTTGGCGGTGGGGTTTTCAACGTGAGTGAAATAAAGCCAATTCAATAATAAATTACTTACGAGTACACGGCGGAATCTCGCTTGTTCCCTTCGGGCACAGTTCAGTGTGACGAAATACGTACCTAAAGTCACATGTAACCGTGCCATCCTCTGATATACTGGCAATGTGATCGTTGCCAACTGGAGTTCGCTCGCATGCTGCAGGAAAATATGTATAGGAGACGGTTGCAAACCGGATCAGGGAAGAAAACATGACTCTTCAAAATACATGTGAGGAGCACCTGAGTGCCTTGTTTATCTCTCAGTGACTCACATCATTTCCTCGCCCCTAATTTCTTCAGGATCGGTGCAGTTGTTGGAACAAGGTGCTTGAATAGATTCTTTTGTTAATTGGTTAAAAAGTTTAAAAAAATAGTAAATTATCATGTCCGTTCCCGAAAGGAACTCACGACGGTCGCTAACACCCAGTCAACCCTATGTTATTTGGTTGGAGGAAAGCAAATCAGTACACAAAGCTGAGAAGTAAACAATTTCCTCTGAGTCAAGAATGCGGTGGTACTCAGGAAAGGAAAACACACTTCAGGCTTTTCGGCTTCACAAGTTTACTTTCAAGCCATCTCGTCAGGTAAAATTCAGGCAAAGGGAAAGGAACAAGATTACAATGGAAATTCAAGTTCAGACGTGATTTGGGCCAAAGTCTGAACAGCCTATAAGCGGTACTGCCCGAATAACGCTTCTAAGGTGAGGCAATGTTGGCTTGATGGAGTTCTGTGCATACCTTGTTTGCGCACGCTGTGGCTTGACTCACTTGTAGACCCAAAAATAATGTGATTTTTCGCGAGTTTTGAGGAGTACTATAAAGGTTTCAACGTTCCCATCAGAAATATGTTGAAGGGCGTTGCACAGTAGATGTACAATTGACCTGCACACACACTTTGGTATTCTCAGGCATGCCCTGTGGCACCAAGTACATAGGGAACCACTCAATAACATCAAACAACAGTGAAATGGATAACAAGACTTAGTTTCAATGGATCAGCCGGGGAAGTAAACTGCCTGAAAATAGTAGAATACCAACCTTACCAGGACTTGAACCCGGGACCTTGTTTGCCATGAGCGATACTCTATCCATCTGAGCTATAGGATCAGGCCAAACCTAGAAGGCGCTGACAGGTTTTCACTCCAAAGGCAGTTCACAACACATGCCACACACACGGATAGCACTAGGGTCTTTCCCCACCCCCAGGGGACCAACCACGGTCAATTTCTGGAACGTCATACCATAGATGAAAGAAAGTGATTTTTAACCCTTTACCATCCGTGCGTAGTTGAATCAACATCTGGAGATCGAAGGACACGAACACAACATGCTCATCGTACCTCTGGAACCGTTTGTTGCCGGAGAATACTCAGACTTCGCAGGAGACCCCATGGGATACAGGCTGCCGTCCTACTGGCCCAAACGAGGGGTCTTCCTACTCAATATCATCGCTAAAATCGAGCTTGAAGTTGTGCGAAAATTAATGATTAATGATTGATTTGAGAAAAGAAAAAGGATCAAGGAACTACAAATTATGCTATAATGTCCACGAACACCACCAGTTACTAAACAATCAGCTTAACAGGTCTAGCACATCTTGGATGCACACTCCAGCAGCCTTTCAACTTGTAAGATTCTGTGTTATAATAGGGGACGGTAAGCACAACCAAGACAAGCAGGAGCTGAAAGTTTCAGCTGTGAAGAACGTTGGCGGATGTTCATGCATGTCAATGACTGTGCTGGCAAGACAATTGGCGTAACCGGTGTAGTTCCTTGGTTCTTTTTCTTTTCTCTAACTTTATCCTTGGCTCTACATCCGGGTCCAAATTAATTTGAGTGAGGACACAATGAATGCAGATGAGGCGTTGGAGTTTTTCGATCAACTGAATGAAGGAGATCACTCTGACACCTGTCTCAAGTCAAGCCATGACTACTTGGTCCGCCAAGTTAAAATTGGCGCTTATCTTCTCACTTGGTTTTTCGGTGTTCTGCCTGTGTCACACGGCATGGAACCACCGATTCACCATCCGAACATAATTATTGACCATTGCATCGGACGACATGGCAGCACAAACCATCACAGAAGTTGCGATCGGTTCGTTTGAGTCTTTTTGACGGAGCTGCCGCCGACGAACACTTCCGTCAGCGCAAGAAAACACTGCAACCTCCGCTCGAGTCCGTAAAATAGGTCAGGATGTTCGCATTTCAGAGCGATGGAGAATACAGTTTCTGTCTACTTCCAGCTGTCTGATGGCAAGGATTGTTTACCCTTGGGAGGTTTAGAAAAGCTGGAAAAGAGCTTCGCGAGCTTGAATTTCAGTGCTTGCACAGTACAGCGCCTAGTGAAGGGCTATCCGATGACCAGCAAATCGCTGACAAAGAAACTGCAGCTCAAGTCGACATCTCCAGAAAGTGAGACCAATCCGGCGGACACACTTTGAAGCTCACAGAGGACAGGGCAAAGGAACTAATCAAAATAAACACCAAGTCCTGAGGGAAACACTCGTGCAAAGTACTTTCAGGAAACTAGCCGAAAAGCCTGGTGCACGGCATAAGGACTTAGGCTATTTTAAAGAGAGCATGTCTGAGAAAACCAGAACATATGTGCAAGTCGATCTCTCAGATTTCGCTCAAATTTTGCAGGTAGGTTTGCTTTGGGGTGTAGATCGACATTCCAAAGCCCGCACAAAATCTTTTGAAGGGAACCATGAAATTGGCATACCCCTCAATATTGGCCCAATATTGGCACGATTTATGGGTCTACAAACGAGCCACGGCACAGCGTACAAGAACAAGCTACGAACAAAACTCCATCAAGCCATCATTACCTCACCTTAGAAGAGTTCTTGGGGCAGCACCACTTAGCCACGCCAGCATCCCAGAAGACGAGGGAAATCATCCCTTGACGCCACAAATGATCGTCTTGAAAATAGCCAAATTACAAGCGCTGATAAAACAGCGAGCTACGTCCTCAATTAGCAAACACTATACACCGGCAGATAGTAGAACACCTCTTCTAGCACTGAGGACATGTCCCCCATCATCCTTTTGGGGTTTTCTTGAAATAAACAATTTTGAATTTTTCCACTCGACCATTCTGAAATACGTCCAAACTCATACCTGCGCAGGAAAGCTCGCCCCTCCGCGACGTCTAGTCAGCAATTTCTACTCCAACACCACTCCCAACGCTGCAGAACAAAGTGTATTGTTGACTCTGACAAGGAAAAGCAGCGGTGATCACTTGTCACTCCAAACGACAAGCTTCTCCTTGCGCCACCAACATTTTTCGTTGCAACAGTTGATGCAAAAGTGACTGAATTTTTGCGTGTAGTTTTTGGATTTTACTGCAAAAGGAATGATGAAATCACGTGCCTCGTGACACAAGAATGCCAGGTCTCGTAGATCACGGTTCAGCAGTTGTTCCGAGTCACCTTGATCAAGCGCTCCTGCACTTACATGGATCACCCGTTGATCTAGATCGGATCAAGTGCATCTTGATGTCCAGCTCAAGAGCACGCATGTCGTGTTGTAGGCCTTCCAGCTGGGACTTTCCCTCTACATGCAGCACAGAGACGGGCGGCGAGTAGGGTCAAATCACGTTGTTCATGACGTAAGAAATCTGCCATGTGGCCGCGCCACATACTTCATGCAACCAGTGTTGGCCGCGCGCTGGTCAACTCCAAACGACCTTGATGGCATGGACCACGCTCATTCCTTGCTGTTGGCAGTGTTGCAGATCTACGTGGATCATCAGCATGTAAACCAGCCGTACGGTTCCTGCTGAACCATGTTCGGGATGAGCGAGGTTAGTGTGAAAAAATGCATCCCTGTTCTTACTGCAAGACGAAATATCTCCAAGAATTCTTGCCAATGCAATACTGCTAGCGTTATCGATAGTTTCTGCATGTTCTGAGCAGAGCATGCAAGAAATATAATGCATCTTACCTCCTACCTCATGCCATGGTCCGTTTCGAATAGCGCCTCAGAAACGATCGTGATCGATCGTGTGCATTGTGTCGTGTACCAGAAAGCATTATTCTACGTCACGATCCACGTGATTTCTTCATTCCTCTTGCAGTAAAATCCAAAAACTACACGCAAAAATTCAGTCACTTTTGCATCAACTGTTGCAACGAAAAATGTTGGTGGCGCAAGGAGAAGCTTGTCGTTTGGAGTGACAAGTGATCACCGCTGCTTTTCCTTGTCAGAGTCAACAATACACTTTGTTCTGCAGCGTTGGGAGTGGTGTTGGAGTAGAAATTGCTGACTAGACGTCGCGGAGGGGCGAGCTTTCCTGCGCAGGTATGAGTTTGGACGTATTTCAGAATGGTCGAGTGGAAAAATTCAAAATTGTTTATTTCAAGAAAACCCCAAAAGGATGATGGGGGACATGTCCTCAGTGCTAGAAGAGGTGTTCTACTATCTGCCGGTGTATAGTGTTTGCTAATTGAGGACGTAGCTCGCTGTTTTATCAGCGCTTGTAATTTGGCTATTTTCAAGACGATCATTTGTGGCGTCAAGGGATGATTTCCCTCGTCTTCTGGGATGCTGGCGTGGCTAAGTGGTGCTGCCCCAAGAACTCTTCTAAGGTGAGGTAATGATGGCTTGATGGAGTTTTGTTCGTAGCTTGTTCTTGTACGCTGTGCCGTGGCTCGTTTGTAGACCCATAAATCGTGCCAATATTGGGCCAATATTGAGGGGTATGCCAATTTCATGGTTCCCTTCAAAAGATTTTGTGCGGACTTTGGAATGTCGATCTACACCCCAAAGCAAACCTACCTGCAAAATTTGAGCGAAATCTGAGAGATCGACTTGCACATATGTTCTGGTTTTCTCAGACATGCTCTCTTAATAGACTTAGGTGCACGCAGTACGCAGAGGTGCTACATCAAGCGGAAGCTATCACTGTGCTGCATGTAACTTGTTACTGGCTCCAACGGCTCGCGTGGGTACGGGTGCTGATCAGCAAGTACGACAAGCGCAAGAGGCGATTTGAAAAAAAGGACTCTGATATGGCGTTGCCTTTTTGTCTCAAACAAAGTCTCATTATTGCGACGGACGGGGATAGCACTTATAGCCAACATGCGGGTAGTCTCACTCAGCTTCTGATCGGCAAGGTGACTGGCATGCACTGCCTTTGAGCGTGATTCGA